GGCTCTCCGTGGGCAGCAGGCTGGCTTTGGTGGGTGGTTATTGGGGTGTCTCTCTTTGGGGCCCAGCCCCCCCCCCAGCCAGTCAGATGTAACTGCCGAAGAGCACCGGGCCAGCACACTCTGCGCGTCCGTCCTCCCCTTTCCCACCCGCTCCCATGTTCAGCGTCTCGGTCTTGTGCCTGGTGCTGCTTTCGGCAGGACGAAGCCCATAAATTCGGCCCACAGCAGTGGCCTCTCTAGCCCATCTAGTCATGTCTCTGTGGTTGTGAGGGAGGCTCGGTGCCCCCATGGCTGCGTGGGGCGTTGCTATGGTTACAGGTGGCTGTGGCGCTTTTCAGAGCTGGAGGTGGGGAGGAAGCTTGGGTTGAGTGCCCCTCCCCCAACAGGCCTTCCCAGTCTTCCCGCTGCCCAGTGCTGTGTGGGGAGCCCCAGGCCGCGTCCCATGGGTTTGGGCTACGTGCTCGGTTCCACCTTCCTACCATTCCCCTGTACAGCGCCTCTGCCGCGGTGAGATAGCCACTGGGTGCCGGAGGTGTGGTGTCCCCGGGGGGGCGCTCTGCAGCGTTAGAAACACTTCCACTGGTTTGGGATTTGGCTCGAAGAGCTGAGCACGAGGGAGCCCGAGCTCCCCAAGGCCAGACGTCTGTGAAGGGTTCAGAGAGCAACCGCGATGGGGCAGGGTGCAGCCAGGCGCTGGCAGTGGGGAGCCCTGGAGCCGACCCAGCAGGCAGCATTTCTCCAGGGCACCAGGTCGGTCTGCCATGGGGAGAGAGTGTTCGATCACTAAGTAAGTTATCCCACAGGCCACCTGCAACAAACCACTCTGGATAGGCCATGGGGCTGCCTAGGGGCAGGCTCAACATGCACCATGTTATCACAGTGCAGGACACCTGTATTCCCCCAGAGGGGACACCTCCACTAGCCTCCAGGCGCCTCGCTGTCACCGCTCTTGGGTGGGGCCACGTCTCTCTCCCCTCTGAGCGGGGTGTTTCCCGGCTGCACAGCTCCCTGCCTACATCTGCTATCCCCCAGCTAGGTAAATGCCCTGGTTAAGATACCCACAGATCTTCCTAAGTGAGCACATTTATCCTTCAGGTGAAGTGTCACAGAGAAAACAACACAAGATCCCACACGTGTGCTCACCAGAGACCACCCCAACTCCTACAAGGGCTGTGGTTGAAGATCTGTCCTCTCCCCACGTGTTCCCTAGGAACTCCCCCCAAAGTTCAGTCTGTCTGGTCCATTGTTTTAAAAGCGGCCTTGAAGCACATCCACTTCCCCGTGTTTGCTTTCGTCCTGTTTCCTCAAAAGAAGATACGTCCCAGCCCATGATAATACAGAAGCATTTATATTTTTAACACGACAACATCCTACGATACTTGAGCTTAATTCAGTAAGGATTGGCATATCTGTCACACCAACTTGCATACCGGCCGAGCAGAGAAGGGTGGGCTTCGCTTCCCATCTCCGGGACCCACCGGGGCACCACTAGGCTCTTTGCGGGGAAGTGAACTGAGGTGTGGAGCTGAGAGCCCACGACACGCAGGCAGGACAGAACGAGCCCCAGAGTTCACAAAGGGACGGAGGGTGTTTCCGCACTAGGGCTGGGACACGTTCCCAGTCCCTCAAGTGGCCATGCCCTCATGTCGGGGGAGGGGGAGGTGCTAAGGAGGCCACAAGTGTAGGCAGAACCTAGCCCCCCGCCCCCCTACGTTATTTGTCTGGCTGGAGGGACAGAGAGGTGAGGGCTGGTGCATCTCACACCCACAGACCCTTCTGTGCAAGGGGAGCTGCAGATCTATGGGGAAGACGCCCTCCAGGAGAGACCAGCAGCAGCAGCTCCTTCTCCTCACCCCACAAGAGAACACTGGGCCCTACCCATCCCAGTGCTTAGCCTGTGGCCTCGGGAGCCCTGGCTGGGGCCGCAGAGAGCTGCCTGGACTCCTGCTGCTGGCTCCGCTCCTTGCTGGCCGAGCTCGTGTCGGCCGTACGCTCGCCCAGCGGCATTTCCCCGTCCCACTGTCTGCCCGTCACCGCATCGATCTGCTCCAAATGTCAGGGAATGTTCCAGACATCCATGGGCAGAGCCTCTCGTCCTGGGGCCAGTCGGCACATCGAGCGGGGGACACGGAGCCGCTGGCCTCCCTTGATGGCACCATTAAACCCTGCAGCATAAGGACAGCCCCTGCTCCCCGCCCAGTGGAGGGTAGCCCTGGCACCCTGCATGAGGGAAGAGAAGTCAGTGCTCTCCCTGCTGGGAGCCCGAGGCCCGTAGGACACGCCAGAGGAGAAAAGAGACGAAAGGTTCATTCATCCCTGCCTCCTGCTTACATCCTGCACCCTCAAAGGTGGGGGAGAGAGGGCACCAGCCACCCCCCCCTTCAATGGAGGAGGGGAGGTACCTGGGGCAGGGGAGACCCCCAGGCCCCCTGGTGTGATCGGGAGACTGGTGTATTGGGGGAATAGAGCCCCTGGCATGGCAGGGAGAAAGGGGACAGCAGGGATAGACGTACACAGAATCTCAGGTGTGTGGGGGGAGAAACTGGAGGATCCTGGTATAGGGAAAGGGAGGGTCACACGGAGCCCCTGCCATGGGAAGTAAGAGGGGGATGGGGGGCATGGGAGAGTGGTTATGGGGGTGCACACAGAGCCCCTGCCATGGGAAGTAAGAGGGGGATGGGGGGCATGGGGGAGTGCTTATGGGAGTGCACACAGAACCCCTGCCATGGGGGTGGGGGAGAACAGGGGTCTTTGGTATGGGGGAGAATAGGAGGGAGCACACAGATCCTCTGGCAGGGGGAGATTGGGGGAGTTCCAGGGAGTCCCTGAAATAGAGGGGATGGGAGGGGGCACCCAGAGAGCTTGTGGGTGGACTGACAGGGCACTAACTATCATAACTTGGGCTTTCCTTGTTGGCCATATAAATGTCTGATGAAGTGGGTTATAGCCACGAAAGCTTATGCCCAAATAAATTTGTCAGTCAATAAGGTGCCACAAGGACTCCTTGTTTTTTTTGCTCCCTCTTTGACTCCTGCTAACTCCCTGTGCCTGAGTCCTCATCCACAGCTGTGCAAAGCAGGGTGTTTGCTGCCTCCCAGAGGTGGGAGCCATGGACCCCTGCTCGGCCTGCAGTCTGCACAGGTGGCAGCGACAGCACAAGGTGACAGGCTGGGGGGAAGCCCCGGCCACAAGCGGTTTGTCTGACCATCCCTGGGGCTGGAGCTGTTCCCCACAGAGGGGAGGGCAGCGGCAGAGGGCTGGGTTTCTCCCTGCAAACAGGAAGCAAAGGGCAGAGTCTATAAATCTATGTTTTTACAAGAATGGAAAAATACAGCAGACAAGTACAAACCTGAAAGTTCCCAGCGTGGGCCAGGCCGTCAGTGATAAAGGTGCTGGAGGCCGATTAGAAAACTCAGTTCCTGGTGTGGGGTTCACTAATCGCTCAGCCCAAGGTGCTGGAGAAATCCTCTGTATTCAGCCAGGCAGCTCCAACTCCCTCTGCCTCACAGGAGGAGGCTCGGCACCCGCTCCCCAGCCTGCTGGCCTGCGAGGCTAACCCAACCCACTGACACGAACAGGTCCCCACCACACCTGAGAGCTAAACTCAACTGCACGGGCAAACTGGAGCAACCCCCGCCCCTGGCTGGAGACACTGAGCCCCTCGCTCTGACACCACCTGCTAGAGCGCTCAGCAGGAGGGGAGGGTCCCAGCTTCCTACCAGCCCAAACTGAGCAGCAGAACATTGTCCCGATCAGCTGCTGGGAGCCAGTGACTCGTTCGCTTGGGCACTGGCATCCCCACGCCCTCAGCTGGCCCCAGAGTCAGGGTAAAACAGGTCCTGCAGAGCAGCTCATTTGAACCTCCTGTGCAGAGAGCCCTGCCAGCATGAGCCCTCTCGCCCTGCAGCTCCCTCCTGTCAGCCCTGGCCCGGCCCAGCGTGGAGCTCCCTCCCTCCCGTGTGCGTACGTGGGTCAATGCATAGCTCCATGCATGGCTCCAGCGTGGCTGCTGTCAAGGGCTGTGCCGTTCCGCACGACCAAGGCTGTGCTGGCAGCTTTGTATTGTTCCAAGTCAGGCCGCTGGCCCGTGCAGCACCTTGTCTTTGGGAGATTGGCTAACGGCTATTGGAGCTTCACCCCCATCTCACTAATCCTGGGGACGAAGCTGCATGTGGGGCAGGAAGCTGGCGTGGCCCAACCCGGCCCGGCCCTGTGTCCTTTGTGTGTGTGGCTGAGAGAGGGCAGGGGAGAGTTTGCCGTGTTCTTTGGAGAGCCAGTGCCAGTGCCTAGTTCCCAGCCCAGAAGCCAGAGGGGCTGCACCGTGGTGCAGGGGTCGAGGACCCGCCTGGCATGGACGCTCCGCCTGGTGTCAGGGGCGAGGCGCTGGGCAGAGACGTTACAGGGGAGAGGTGCTCGATTATTGGCACAAGGTCCTTGGCAGCCAGCTGTAGCCAGGCAGAGAGCGGCTCTAACCCCACAGACTGCCGGGCAGGAGCCGAGCTGCACTGGACAGAGAATGGTTCTCCCCAGCGTTGCCAGCCCCTCCTTCGTGGGCAGGTCTCCAGAGAGCCCGTAGCTCCCGCTCTCACTCCAGCCCCCTGGCTCTGCCGTAGTACTGAGCCCGGGCTCTGGTCTCCATACGCTTAGGGCTGCCCCGGTGCCCCTGCAGCAGCTGGCAGCTCAGCTTGCTCTCTAGCGGCATCCCCGGCCCCACCCCTGCCATTCGCTGGCTCCCTGCAGCCCGCTTTGTCTCTCGGACTCTTTCAGCAGGAAGTTTGAAACCAGTTTCCTAACCACCTGGCTCCTGCTGCCCTCCGGGTGCTGAGCTGCCCTGATCTCACTCGCCACGGTCCTGGCACCGGCTCAGCCCCGGCATTGGGAGTCCAGCCTTTCGGCTCTGCTGGGCATAGGGGGGTTAGTGCTTGCCCAGCTTTCAGGCTGGCTAAATGGTACAAAACCAGCCTGTGGAGGCCAGGCCAGGCAGGGTCCAGGCAGGGCTGTTGCGTTAGAACAGTGGGTTTATTGAGGACACCGGCACAGCTGATGGCACGGTCACTGGAATGACCTGGCCCAGGGCTCCTGTTGCGTGGCCGGGGGGCATCTCACCAGGGAAGAACTTTCCCTTCCCAGTTCACAAAGGCCCCGTTGTCCTTCTTGGAGAGTGTTGGAAGCACGTTCAGGATCCCTTGGACACTCATGTCCACCGTCAGTGGAGCCTGCAGGGGGCAAAGGAGAGTGAGGGGGAGAAGTCTGCCCTGGGGCTGGCCCAGGACACCAGGGGCCGGGCCAGGATCTGGGAAAGGATCTCAGTAATCTCATTCTGCCCTCGCTGGCAGTGAATGGGTAGGCAGGTCCCAGGCCAGTGTTTACAATAGAAAGTGGGTGAAAAGGGCTGCACCCCTGAGAGACACCTAAGCCCCAATGGAGACAGACGACCAGCTCCTGCCCCCTCCACCTCCCCATGGCAGCAACTCGGCAGGGTTTGCTGTGCAATGCTGAGCGCTGAAGGAACCATGGCACCAGCAGCCCCGGGAAGCAACGCCCAGGACACAGCACTGAATCCCCAGGGAGCTGGGTCCTGACGACCGCCTCGCTGGGATGGGAGCCCCTGAGAAGTGTCATCAATATGGGGGGGGTGATAAGGGAACACGCTCCAGCGTAACCATTCCCCCTACAATGAACTTCTGCCCATGACATGTGGCTACGACTGGCCTCTCCCACTGAGGCACCTACCTGCTGGGAGGGTGAGCTCCCCATGTCAGTCTGCACCCAGCCAGGATGGACAGCGATGCTCAGGATACCGTCTCCTCCATACCCCAAGGATTGGCACTTGGTGAGCATGTTCAGAGCAGCCTGTGGGCAAGACACCATGAGCAGAGACAGCAGCGTGTGAGGAGAGCAGGGACCCACCCCCAGGAGAAAGGTGAGCAAGGGGGGCAGCTGATGCAAGCTGCAGTGTGTGATTCTCTCCTTGGGGATGAGTCGCCACCTCTCACTGCAATGGGCCCACGTGCACGACCCAGAGTCCTGCTCCTAGGCTCAGGCTCTGGGGTCAGGTGACCAAGCATCATGTGACCCGGAGGCCGTGCTTCCCATAAGAGGGAGCAGAGTGAGATTGGCCCGAATACTGGCCTGGCAGGTCAAATCTGGGGGATAAACCGGGGGGCAAGAAAGACTTTTCTTTCCCCTTTGCTGTAGCGGAACACAGGGGACAAGCATGAACTCGTGCCCTGCTGAGCGCACCCCGTACCTTGCTGCACCGATAAGAGACAACTTGCCCCAACTGCCAGGCAAAGAGATTCGTGATGGAGCCGCCCTCACTGGACATGTTGACAATGGCCGCCTTGCTGCAGCTCAGCCCCGGTTGGGGGCTTCCCTGGGCAGCCTTCTTCAGCAAGGGCAGGAACGCCTGGCAGGAGGGGAGAAAAGAGCACCCATGGGGTCAGCTTAGGAGAAAGGACCCACATTCCTCTCTTCACCAGCGGACTCTGATTTGAATTGAAGTGGGTCCAGCTGTTGCGCAGCTGCAGCGCAGCACCGCCTGTGACACCGCTGGTGGGCTGGCCCCCTCAGCCTGCTGCTCTTGGGCCATGCTCTCTCCCTGCCCTCCAACTTGTTCATAGTCTCAGTCCTGTTTTCAAGGCTGATTTCTAGGAGTTGGGTAATCCCATTCTGCCCTCACTGGCGGTGAACGGAGGAGCCCGGTCCCAGGCCAGTGTTTACAGTAGAAAGTGGGTGAAAAGGGCTGCACCCCTGAGAGACAACCTAAGCCCCAGTGGAGACAGCGCGAGGTCAACAGAAGAATTCTTCCGTTGCCCTAGCTACCACCTGTTGGAGCAGTGGATTTATTACAGCGACAGACGAACCCTTTCGGCACCGCTGGCGTGTTTCTAGAGTAGATACAGCCGGTCATATGCTGTTTCCCTACTTTAGAGCCCTGCAGAGTATCTTACGGGATTGTAGACACCCTCTAGCTCCGGGGTTCTCAAACTTTAGACCTAGTTTCTAAATGGTTCAATTTGCCACATCCAGTTCCTGACACAAAGTGCCTTGAAAGGGGCTGTGGGCCCCGCGGTGCAGCTGAAAGGGCAGCAGCTGGGGGATGAAGGGTCCAGAAAAGCTTAGACAGAAACAAGCAAGAGCCGCATGCGGCACTGGAAGGAACCCTGGTCTTACTATGTTTTCCAGCCATTCTATTGGGACTATTTGTCATAGAGCAGGGCCGGTGACCCCTTTCATATAACAAGCCTCTGAGTGCAACCCCCCCCTTATCAATTAAAAACACTTTTTAATGTATTTAACACCATTACAAATGCTTGAGGCAAAGCGGGGTTTGGGGTGGAGGCTGACAGCTCACGACCCCCCCATGTAATAACCTCGCAACCCCGAGGGGTCCGTCCCCTGCTGCTCTCCCTCCCCCGCAGCCTCAGTGTGCTGCGCCACCGGCACTCTGGCCCTCTGCTCCTGCCAGGCAGCACGGTGGCATGGCTGCGAGGTCCTGCTGCTCTGAGCGGCGTGGTAAGAGGGTGGGGGGAGGGTGTGGATAGGGGTCGAAGCAGTCAGGATACAGGGAGCGGGGGGGGTTGGATGGGGGTGGGGTCCCGGGGGGCGGTTGGGGTGGGGGTCCCGGGAGTGGGTGGTCAGGGGACAAGGAGCAGGGGGGGTTGGATGGGTCAGGGGGTGGATAGGGGGTGGGGGCCAGGCTGTTTGGGGAGGTACAGCTTTCCCTACCCAGCCCTCCATAAAGTTTCGCAACCCCGATGTGGCCCTCGGGCCAAAAAGTTTGCCCACACCTGCTCTAGGGAGATGGCCTCTACTGCAGGAGCTGAACTCTTGGCTCAGACCCCACCGGGGCAGCGCTAGGGCCTCTAGGTCCATTTCTTGGGTGGTTACAGTCCCATAATGAACCTGACACATACACTGTGATGAACGCCGTGCCCCAGGCCCCCCCCCACACACACACAGAGGTTGGCTCATGGAACCAGAGCCCTGGGGGAAAGGGAAGAGTTCTGGCCTAAGCAAAGTCAAACCCCAGTGCAGCCAGCGACGTGCCCTCTGTCGGGGCCCTTACCTGGCTCACCAGCAGGGGCCCTGTCACGTTGGTTGCGTACACCAGGGACATGTCCTCCGCTGTCTCAGACTCTAGTGTGTTCAGCCTCGCTATCCCAGCGTTGTTTATCAACAGATTCAGCCCCGAGCTTTTCAGATGCTCCTCAACTCTGGCTGCTGCCGCCTTGATGCTGGCTGGGTCGGTAGCTTCTATAGAGACAGAGCAGGGGGTTCAGGGGCGTGGTTCCTCCGCCCTGTAGCTAACCCCTCTCCCGGAGACACGAAGCCCAGGCTGCTCTACAGAGCCATGCTAACGACTCAGGAGCTCAGGAGCTAGCCAGAACTGGGCAGTGCCATGGCAAGGGCAGACAGAGTGAAATCAGGGGGACCAGGGATCAGCTGGGCGAGTGTAAAGCAGTGTGGCAGTGAGAATGTTAATGGGGCAGGGGGAAGGGCGTGTTGGAACAACAGGATCTTCCCACCAGTGAGCAGGGTTTGAAATCTGCCCTCAGAGCTCTGGCAGGCTCGCCCTCAGCCAGCTTTCATCATCCCATGAGAACACCCTGTAGGGAAGAACGCCCCGATGGCACAGTTGTTTGGCAGCATTTGAAACACGCCGATTTTTCCTTTTAAAAAGCGTTTGCAGCATTTTTTTTATCCGAACCATCAGCAGCATTTTTGGGTTACTGAAAAAGCTGGTTCAACAAAAGAGCTCGATAGTCATTTTGATAGGTCACCGAAAACATCAGACAAGCCAATCGATTTTCACTCTGAGTGCTGGCGTGACCCTCTGTGCGAAGTCACTATGCCACTCACTCAGATTTGGCCCCGCTTCCCCCAGCCTCGGTCATGTGAGCAGCTCTCCAAGCATCAGCAGGATGAGCAGCTGGTCCCAGCAGATCCCAGGCATGGCCAGCCCAGCCATGGGGAGCGCACTTTCTGGGCCTGGGGTGCTCCCCCATGAATTCGGGCCCTGGCCGTTGGCCTAGCTTGTTAATCTGGCCCTGGCAGGATCCCGAGGCTGGGATTGGTTCCCACTATCCCATCCTGTGAGAGGCATCCCTGAGGCTAGCAGAGCTGTCCAAAGGGCAGCCCCTGTTCATGAAATTGATTCCTTGATTCCAAAGCTGCAACTACCGGAAGGGCGTTCCAAAGAGGATGGAGCTCGGCTGCTCTCAGTGGTAGCAGATGACAGAACAAGGAGTAATTGTCTCAAGTTGCAGTGGGGGAGGTTTAGGTTGGATATTAGGAAACACTTTTTCACTAGGAGGGTGGTGAAGCACTGGAATGGGTTACCTGCAAAGGTGGTGGAATCTCCATCCTTAGAGGTTTTTAAGGCCCGGCTTGACAAAGCCCTGGCTGGGATGATTTAGTTGGCGTTGGTCCTGCTTTGAGCAGGGGGTTGGACTAGATGACGTCCTGAATTCCCTTCCAACCCTGATATTCTATGATTCTATGAGTCTGTGAAAGCAAATCTGTCTCCAACAGAGAGAGGCCTGTTCAGACCCAAACCAGCCAGGCTCATATATGGCACAGGCAGCCCCTGACTCAATCAAAATCATCCCTTCCCTGCCAGTCTGGCACGCGGGGCAATCTGCAGATACCAGGAACTTCCCGGGCCTCCTCCTGACCAAGCCCGCAGAGCCTGAGTGGGACGTGGGAGACCCGGGGTTGCTCTGCGGCGATGGGTGGGTGCTAGGCACCCTCCCCATCACTAACACCTAGGCAGGAATAACACTTAACAGGAACACGGAGACAGGGGGACAGGGAACGGGGAACAAAGGGACCCAGAACAAGGGAGCCTCAGCTCTCTGGGCCCAGGGCAGGGCACCCACCTAGCGCAATGATCGCCAGGTTTGGATGCCTGGATGCCAAGGTCTTTAATTCCTGAAAAAGAAGAAAGTCGATGATTATTGACAGAGCCCCCAGCCCGCAGGGACGGTCAGGCCGGGCACAGTTCAGCTCCCTGCTGCTACCCCGGACCAAGTAAATATCTCATGCTTTGACTGCAAAGCTCCCATGCGCAGGGTCCAGCCCTGGCTGTCGGGGTCTGTATCCTGGGTGTTTAAAACACCATCGTCTAGCTCAGTGCAGTCAAGTCAGGGACACGTTCCCCTGTTCCCTTTAGGAGACAGGCACAAAGCAGTGCAGGCGTCACCCACCTGTGCTCCCCACCCTCTCCCTCAATGGCTCTGCTAGCTTTGCATGTGAACTCGGCCCCAGCCAGCGTGGCTGCCTTATGCGCCAGGGAGTGTCAGCCTGGAGCAGGGTCTGAAATCCCCTCCTGCTTGGGCCTCTTGCTTTTGGCTCCAAGTGCTGGGAGGCTGGAAGCCCCTCACTCAGATTCCCCCACCTCAGGTACAGCTAACTCCATCTCACCTCGCCCCGTTCTCACCTGCGCTCGCTCTCCCTTCGGGTCCCGGCAGCTCGCAAAAACCCACTCGGGTGGGTTTGATTTCCCCAGAAACTGCTTGACAAGGCCCAGGCCGATTCCCCGATTGGCCCCAGTCACCAGAACGCTGCGGACATTAAAGCCAGCCATGGTCCCTCGCCTGCCTCTGCCCCAGCTGGCAGTGCCTCTGCTGAGTGAGAGCTGGGCTAGTTCTAGCCCCCACTTCCCCTGCACCTGGGGTTACACAGCGTCTGACTCCTGGGTGCCAGCTCCTTGATTCTACACCAAGGCCTGGAGCCTGCCCCGAGCAGAGTAAAACCGACCGAAGCTGAGCAGAGGCTCCCCCTGCAGGGGAATGGGAGTCACCATGGATTGGAGGAGCTCCCCAGAAGGGAGGAGCTGTGAAGTGCAGAAAAGGAGATGGGTGGGGGCAGGCTGATAGGAAGCTATGGGGATCGGATGGATTCGTGCCATTTCACGGGGTGACCTTTAAACTGGGCAGGGTTTGCAATCTCTCACTGAAGTGATAAGAATTTGGGCAAGTTAATATTCCACATGGTGAAACTCATTCTCCACTCCCCTGACTTGGTTGAGCTGCGTGGCACCTAGAAATTGCTTTCAGGGGCTGTGGAACGTCGTTTGACCCAGAAATGATCTGTTATAACGTACCTGCAGGGCAAGAACCCGACATTTTATTGCCTCGTGAAGACTGGGGAAAAAGCCCAGGCTGTGCAGCACACTCCACATATGTTATAGTCTCAATTTTACATTGTCCACAGTTAGTGCATCAACATTACGTGTAACATTAACTACACCCATGCACATACCGGGCTTCTGATTTTAGGCTTTAACCTGTGAGCATCCCCAACACAACAGAATTGAAATTGGTGATTAGCCAGTAAACACTGGAAAGCACTGGAAGTGGTTCCTTGTATCTAAGGGCTGGTCGACACGGTGCAGTAATGTGAACTAAGACACTGCATTTTCTGAAGTGCACTGACGTGCTGCACACTAATTCATCCGCGTAGACCCTGCTGATACACACTAACGGGCCTCGAGTGTGTTTAATGTAATGAAACAGTGTTAGTGTACAGCGCACTAGGGACTATTAGGGGGAGCTTAGTCATTCCCGTATGTCCTGCTGTACGTTACTCATTACAGTAGACACAAAGAGAAAGCCCCAACCCCCCAACACCCCCCCCCCGATTTTTGGATGTCGATGGCTATGTCTTCACTACAGGGGGGGGTCGATTTAAGATACGCAAATTCAGCTACGCGAATAGCGTAGCTGAATTCGACGTGTCGCAGCCGACTTACCCCGCTGTAGGGACGGTGGCAAAATCGACCTCTGTGGCTTCCTGTCGACGGCGCTTACTCCCACCTTCGCTGGTGGAGTAAGAGCGTCGATTCGGGGATCGATTGTCGCGTCCCAACGGGACGCGATAAATCGATCCCCGAGAGGTCGATTTCTACCCGCCGATTCAGGCGGGTAGTGTAGACCTAGCCTATGTCAAACTCAAAAATTGTTAGAAATAAAACCTGAAAATGAAATGAGTACAACCCCGCCCCCCCAAACAGAAGCTCTAGTCCTATGACCCAGCACGATAGACTAAGCTATATAGTTAATCAAAAAGAACAGGAGTCCTTGTGGTACCTTAGAGACTAACGAATTTATTTGAGCATAAGCTTTCGTGGGCTACAGCCCACTTCATTGGATGCATCGAATGGAACACACAGAAAGAAGATATTTATACATACAGAGAACATGAAAAGGTGGGGGTAGCCATACCAACTGTAAGAGGCCACTCAATTGAGATGAGCTATCATCAGCAGGAGAGAGAAAAAAACCTTTGAAGTGATAATCGAGATGACCCATAGAAGGTGTGAGGATATTTTAACATTTTAACATGAGGAAATAGATTCAATTATGCTCAAATAAATTTGTTAGTCTCTAAGGTGCCACAAGTACTCCTGTTCTTTTTGCGGATACAGACTAACACGGCTGCTACTCTGAAACCTGTCATAGTTAATCAAGAATCTCCTCCTATGATGCAATTTGCTGGAGCAGCCCCTATTTTGAGGATCTGAGCTATTGCCTAATTACCTCTTTGCCTCTGTAACTTTAATTCTCTGCCCAACCAGCTCTTTGCATTTAACTCCCTTGAAAGGAGAAAGAAAACAAATAGCCAATAATTACTCAAGAATTGGAGCATTTTAAGAGCCAGACAATTTAAGTGACAACGCCCACCAGTCCCTCCTCTGTGCCCACCCAGCTGCTCAGAGCTGTGTATCCTGTCAACTCAACCCCACTCCCTGCATGGCAGGCAAGAGTGATAAGGTGGTTACACATCTGGGCCTGGCTCTGTTCACTGTCCACCCCCAGACCCCCTGGAGTGCAGCAACCTCACCACAGCAATCAGTGAGAAGCTTGAGGGAATGCACTCCTGTACTCCCACCCTATGCCCAGAGTGTGCCGGGTGAGGGGGTCACCGTGTCCCAGTGAGTCACAACTGAGAATACCAAATTCAGGACAAACTGCTGAGAAATAGGGCAGGACACCCCACCCCACCCCACCTGGTGGTTGGTTATTCTTCTATAAGATATACCCAACCAGCGACTAAAGTAAACTTGTGTCTCAGCACACTGGCTAACAAGAGGTCAGAAAAGCAGTCTCCTTAGGTATCCCAGTCCCTGTAACACCATCAAAAACACTAGACTTAATGATGAGTGATTATTTAAATCCAATTTCATCAACCAAAGTATTTTTCTGATCCCAAAAGACTAGCTACATACCCAGATCAACATATAACTCAGATCTTACCCAATAATCATGCTGTTGCCAATCCTTTAGTATCTAATTTATAAAAAGAAAAAGGTGAGAGTTAAAATTGGTTAAAGGAATCAAATACAGACAATAATTGTAAGGTTCTTGGCTTAGGCTTGTAGCAGCGATGGAATAAACTGCTGGCTTATTAAGTCTCTGGTTGCTCCCAAAGCATTGGAAGGTCCCCAGTCCCTTGGTTAGAATGCCCCCATTAGTATAAGTATAGTATAAGTCAGGGCGGGCAAACCTTTTGGCCTGAGGGCCACATCAGATTTCCGAAATTGTATGGAGGGCCGGTTAGGGTAACTTGTGCCTCCCCAAACAGCCAGGCGTGGCCCAGCTCCCGCCCCCATCTGACCCCCCCTGCATCGCGCCCCCTGATGGCCCCCCTGGGACTCCTGCCCCATCCACCCGCCCCGTTCCCTATCCCCTGATGCCCCCCCCCGGGACTCCTGCCCCATACACACACACCCCACTCCCTGTCTCCTGACCACCCCTGGACCCCCCGCACCTGACTGCCCCCCGCCCCCCCATCAAACCCCTCCTCTCATTCCTGACTGCCCCCCCTGGGATCCCTGCCCCATCCAACCACCCCTTCTCCCTGTCCCCTGACCGCCCCCGGAACCCCTGCCCCTGACTGCGCCCTGCCGCCCCATCCAGCCCCCCCTCCTTCCTGACTTCCCCCCGGGACCCCTGCCCCCATTCAACCCCCCTGTTCCCCACCCTCTGATTGCCCCGATCCCTATCCACACCCCCACACTCTGACCACCTCCCCAAACTCCCCTGCCCTCTATCCAACCCCCCCCACTCCCTGCCCCCTTACCGCGCTGCCTGGAGCACCGAGGCAGGCAGCCGCGCTGCCCAGCTGGAGCCAGCCATGCCACCGCACAGCACAGAGCACCAGATCAGGCCGGTCTCTGCAGCTGCGCTGCCCAGCAAGAGCTTGCAGCCCCGCCACCCAGAGCATTGCGCCAGCGGCACAGTGAGCTGAGGCTGCGGGGAGGGGGAACAGTGGGGGAGGGGCTGGGGGCTAGCCTCCCGGGCCAGGAGCTCAGGGGCTGGGCAGGAGGGTCCCGCGGGCCAGATGTGGCCTGTGGGCCATAGTTTGCCCACCTCTGGTATAAGTCATATAACAGGCAAGTTGCCACTTCCAACAGATAAACTGCTATTCTCCACATTATACTGAGCTACTTTAAGCAAATCACTTTTACATTGGTTAAGTATACTTTCCCAAGCTTTACTAGCCAACAATCCAACACTCACCAAGACTGTACCTCTTCCTTCCTCAGTTAGGGCTTTAACCTGATCACCAACTTTAATCTGCTCTAGAGAAACATTTCCCAGAGCCTTATCTAATGCCAGATTCACTTCTGAGATATTAGACATTCAGCAATTTCTCCCACATATGCACTGCTTCTTTGCACAGATAAACAGCGATCTTCCTCAGACGAACATTCGGAGAAATGCTCCATAGGCAAGTCCTTGCCCCAATAGACATAGGTTTAGGATTATTTTTTTTCTGTGATTGATTTATGATATCAACCTGACTGAACAATGCTTTAATATCATCCCCAATCAAAAGATCCTTAGGCAATAGCTTCCTTACACCAACTGTAACTTCATGTTTAACACCATTCCATTCAAGATGGATTCTGGCTAAAGGCACGCTTAGCCCTGGTCTACACTACAGGGTTAGGTTGATTTAAAAATGACTGCGTCCACACAACCAACCCCATTCCGTCGACCTAAAGGGCTCTTAAAATCGACTTCTGTACTCCTCCCCGACGAGGGGAGTAGCGCTAAAATCGACCTTGCTGGGTCGAATTTGGGGTAGTGTGGACGCAAATCAATGGTATTGGCCTCCGGGAGCTATCCCAGAGTGCTCCATTGTGACTGCTCTGAACGGCCCTTTGAACTCTGATGCACTAGCCAGGTACACAGGAAAAGCCCCGGGAACTTCTGAATTTCATTTCTTGTTTGGTCAGCGTGGCAAGCTCAGCAGCACAGGTGACCATGCAGTCCCCCCAGAATCGTAGAGCATAGAATGTTTCTACGCTCCCTCCATCATCTCCGTCCCTGAGGTTAACGCAGATTAAAAGGCAAAAAAAAAACGCACTCGCAATGACATGTTTTCTGAGCTCATGCAGTCCTCCTGCACTGACAGGGCACAGCTTAATGCATGGAGGCATTCAGTGGCAGAGGCCAGGAAAGAATTAAGTGAAAGCGAAAAACGGAGGCAGGATGCGATGCTGAGGCTAATGGGGGAGCAAACGGACATGATGAAGCGTCTGTTGGGGGAGCAAACGGACATGATGAAGCGTCTGTTGGAGCTGCAGGAAAGCCAACAAGAGCACAGGCCACCGCTGCATCCACTGTATAACCGCCTACCCTCCTCCCCATGTTCCATAGCCTCCTCACCCAGACACCCAAGAACGCGGGGGGGGAGGCTCCGGGCACCAGCCACTCCACTCTAGAGGCTGGCCAAGCAACAGAAGGCTGTCATTCAAACAGTTTG